AGGATTTCAACTAATGATTGCCAATATTCAAATACGAGAAATATGTTTGGTCGTCGTAATGCTGTAACAATTGATTCTAAAGCTTTCAACTCTATGGCATCACATATATCAACCTTGAAAAAAATGGTAAAGAAGCTGCAACGACCAAGAGGAATACATGAAGTCAAAGATACATCTTTCATTAATTGTGTCTATTGTGGTAAAGAGCACAACTTTGATGAATGCCCTCAAAACCCAAAATCTATCTACTACGTGAGGAATTATCAAAGAAATGACAATGCTTTTGGAAATACATACAATGCAAATTTTAGAAGTCATCCAAATCTCTCTTGGAAAAATCAGAATGTACCCACAACATTTACAACAACAACAATATCAACAACATCAGTAGTAGCAGCCTTATAATATCAGCATAACTTGATGCCACAACAACAATCACAACATCCTATAGCTCAGCCACAACAAAGATAGAATTATCAAGGTCAATCTTCAACTCAAACTTCTTATTTTTCATCTCTTGAATCTTTAATGAAAATATATGGCTAGTCAATCTGCTTCATTAAGAGCTTTAGAAAATCAAGTAGGTCAGCTAGCAAATGCCTTGAGTAATAGACATCAAGGAATGCTTCCCAATGACACTGAAAATTCGAAGAACAATGGGAAAAAACATTACAAAGACATCACCACCAGAAATGGAATACAGATTGGAGAGCCAGTGGGAGAACCTAGAAAAAAAGACGAGGATGCTTCAAATTTGGTAAAGGAAAAATCAAAGAAGTTGAGCCTGTGCCACCTACTGGTCGCTCTACAACATCAGATGCAGACCATTGTAGTAATTTAGAGCTATTGCCGATAGAGACACCTGCTAAGTCTAATGCTCCGCCAATTTCAATGCCGCAACCACAACAACAGAAATTGCCTCCACCTTTTCCACAGTGCTTTAAAAAGACAAAGGAGGAACAACAGTACAAAGCCTTCATTGATGTATTTCGCCAACTTACCATCAATATTTCGTTGGTTGAGGCATTAGAGCAAAACACGAACTACATCAAATTTATGAAAGAAGTGCTATCGAAGAAGCAACGACTAGGTGAATTTAAAACTGATGCTTTGACTAAATGTTGCAGTGCCATGACTACAAGTCAATTGCCACCGAAACTTAAAGATCCAGGGAGTTTCACTATTCCCTACAGTATTGGTGATACCTTTGTAGGAAAAGCTTTATGTGATTTAGGTGCTAGCATAAATCTAATTCCTTTATCTATTTTTAGGAAATTGAGGAACGATGAAGCAAGGTCAACTACTGTCACGCTGCAGCCTGTTGATCGGTCCACTGTGCAGCCGAGTAGCATTGTGGAAAATATGCTTGTGCGAATATATAAGTTTATTTTTCCCACCAACTTGATCATTTTGGATTGTGAAGTGGATAAGGAAGTTCCCATCAGTCTTTGATGCCCATTTCTTACTGCAAGGTGAGCCTTAATCGATGTTGAAAAGGGAGAATTAACTATGCGTTTAAATGATGAGCATTTTACCTTTAATATGTTAAATAATATTTCTTACTTGAGTAATAATGCTGACTATTTTTCACTTGATGGGAATTATATTTTTGCCCAGGGGCATCTTGACAAATGCTACAGAATTGAAGAAGTTATTGATGATGTTGTAGCAATTGAGGAGACTACAGATAATGAATGATGCAACAATTATCTGCAGAAGTACGAATCTCTTGCTATGCCTGAGTGTGTTCCAAGTGCACCAAAGCCCTCTATAAAAAAGACTCCAAAGATGGAATTGAAACCATTTCCAAAGCATTTAGAGAATGACTATCTTGGAGATAATGAGACTATTCCAGTTAGTGTTGTTGTGTAACTGACAGTAACACAGAAAGAATAGTTGATTGTTGTACTGTAGTAACATAAGAAAGCCATCGCTTGGAGCATTGCTGGTATAAAAGGCATTAGTCCTTCATTTTGTATGCATAAGATTTTGTTAGAAGACCATTCTAGTAGCTCAATTGAACATCAGTGCCGATTGAATCCAATCATGAAGGATATAGTTCGAAAGGAGATCACTAAATGGTTGGATGCTGGAATCATTTAACCAATTTTGGACAGTAAGTGGGTCAGTCTTGTTCAGTGTGTTCCAAAGAAGGACAACATTATTGTAGTGACCAATGAAAAAAATGAGTTAGTGCTGATAAGAACCACTACTGGCTGGAGGATATGTATAGGTTTAGGAAGCTCAATAAAGCTACAAGGAAATATCACTTCCCATTGACATTACTAGATCAAATGCTGGACCGTCTTGTTGGTAATTATTTATACTGTTTAGGATAGGTATAGTGGATATAATCAGATTGCTATTGCACCAGAGGATTAAGAGAAAAAAATGTTCACATGCCCTTACGAAACATTTGCTTTTGGGCGGATTTCATTCGGCTTGTGCAATGTTCCAGCAATATTACAACACTGCATGATGGCTATCTTCTTTGATATGATTGACGACTATTTGGAAGTTTTCATGGATGAATTTTGAGTGTTTGGACAAGATTTTGAGAGCTGCTTGAACAACTTGGCTACTGTTTTACAAAAGTATGAGGAAACCAATTTAGTTTTGAATTGAGAAAAATGCCATTTTATGGTAAAAGGAAGAGATAGTGCTGGGGCATCGAATCTCTTGCCACAAGATTGAAGTGGATAAGGCTAAAGTGGAGGTTATTGAGAAATTTCCCTGACTAACAAATGTGAAGGTTGTACGAAGCTTATTTGGTCATGCGAGCTTTTATAGAAGGTTTATTAAAGATTTCTCACAAATTACTAAGCCTTTATGTTCATTGCTGGAAAAAAAGCAAAAGTTTGTCATTGATGCTGAAGTGTTTAACTCATTTGAGACAATCAAGAAGAAATTGGTCAAAGCTCATGTTATAATAGCACCAGATGGGAACTGCCCTTTGAATTAATATGCGATGCTAGTGACTTCATTGTAGGAGCAATGTTAGGGCAAAACAAGGATAAAATGTTCCATGCTATACATTATGCGAGTCGAATGCTGAATAGCGCCCAGATTAATTACACCACAACTGAAATAAGTTGATCGCTATGGTATTTTCCTTTGACAAATTTCACTCATAGCTAGTGGGAACAAAGGTAATTGTTTATAAAATTGATACAAAACCTAGGTTGATTCGTTGGGTATTTTTGCTACAAGAATTTGATATTGAGATTCATGATAAGAATGGATCTGGAAATAAAGTGGCTGATTACTTATCTTGATTAGAATCTGCTAGCGAAGATGGATGCAGCGTAGCGACTCCAGACACCTTCCCTGATGAACAACTATTAGTTGCTACAGTATTACCATGGTATGCCGATTTTACAAATTATTTGGTTAGTGGAATGATGCCACCATATCTTAATTATCAAGGCCGAAAGAAATTTCTAAGAGATGTGAAGCAATATTATTGGGAAAAATCGTTTCTATTTAAATAATGCAATGATCAACTTATACGATAATGTATTCCCGAGTGTGAGCAACAAAACATTCTGCAGCATTGCCACAGTGCACCATAGGAGGACATTTTGGTGGTATACGCACAGTAGTGAAGGTACTTCAATGTGAATATTATTGGCCATCGTTGTTCAGCGACGCCAATAACTTTGTTAAACATTGTGATCACTGCCAGCGAACATGTAACATATCTCGATGAAATGAAATGCCTATGCAACCTATTGGAGATTGAACTTTTTGATGTGCGGGGATTAGATTTCATGGGTCCATACCCATCTTCCTATGTTTCCAATGGGTGGAAGCGGTAGCATTGCCGAACAACAGTACCAAAACTATTTTGAAATTTTTGCACAAGAATATATTCACTTGTTTTGGGACACCCCATGCTTTTATCAGTGATGAAGGATCTCAGTTTATTGGTCATTAAGAGCCTAGAGCATTGAACAGATATGGTGTGAAGCATAAGATAACTACAAAATACCATCCACATTCCAATGGCCAAGACAAGGTATCTAACCGATATATCAAACAAATTCTTGAGAAGGTTGTGTATTCTACTAGAAAAGATTGGTTACAATGCCTTGAAGAAGCTTTCTAGGCCTATAGATCTGCATAAGAAACCCCACTAGGGATTTCCTTATATCATCTTGTCTATGAAAAGCTTGGCATCTACCTGTAGAGCTGGAGCATAAGGCAATGTGGCCGTTAAAGCAGCTGAACTTTGATCTCGATGCTGCAGAGCAACAGCGAATGCTGGAAATTAAAGAATTAGAGGAGCTTCGCTACAATGCTTTTGAGAGCTAACATATTTAAAAGGACAAGAGTAAGAAGTGGCATGATCAACATATTCTACCAAGGGAATTCCATGTTGGACTACAAGTCTTTTTATTCAACTCACGATTGAAATTATTCCCTGGAAAGCTACGATCACGCTGGTGAGGCCCCTTTGAAATTCTTGAAGTATTCCCTCATGGAGCTATTTTGCTGAAGAAATTAGTGGATAAAAGCACGTTTAAAGTCAATGGGCAACACCTAAAGCATTACTCCCAGCCGCACAACCCTCAGATTGCTTCAATTACACTAAGCGATCATTTTATCCCTTAATAATTTTGCAATTTTAAATAAGTCAATTTTGTTGACCATATATGTTTGTAGATGTTTAAATTCTTCTATTTAATTTTCTTTGTACAAGTTTTATTTTCATTCACTCTCTGCTATTTGGTAATTGTTGCACAATTTTACCCTGTTTTCGCCGTATATGGTGTTTCGTTGCTGCATAGATGCTGCATTGAATTTATGAAGACAAAATTACTGTTCTTCTAGAATATTTCAGTGTGAGCTATCATCAGTTGATTTCCCATATTTTCTTACAGTCTGTTTTGCCCAATCACCACTGTCCATTTGAATTTCACCCTTATCCATCTATCCCAAAAATTTGAAATTCAAAACAAAGCCATTTTCCCATTTTCACGCAACCTCATAACCCCCATTTATTACTTTCCCATTCTTTTCTACTTTCATTTACTCACGCTGAAAACATTGCTCATCCTTTCCCAAATTTTTTGCAAAACTTTTTCAAGCTTCCATGGCTCCCAAGAAGAAAGCAAGCATCAAATCGTCCAGCCGCCAATTAACTCCATCACCCTGTGCAACCTTGCAAGAAACATCAGTAGCAAAGAAAGTAACTAGGTTTTTAGATGGAGTAGTAGTACCGATTTATTGAGTGGTTTTCTGGCCGTAATTTCTGCTAAGAACAATAAATTTTCCAGTATGTTACCCAAATGACTTCCCAAAGAAGTTGGGGCGCATTTTGCGCACATCCTGGAAATGTAAATCATCAAGTTGTTTGGGAATTTTACATCAACTTAACTGATGAATCAAAGAGGCTTGTATTCGTATGTGAGAAAATGGAACATTGGTGGACTGTAGCAATCAATAAGTTATTTGGAGTTGCTGATGAGCCCTGCGAACATGCCCTATTTGTGGAGAATTTAATAGATGAAGGATTGGAGAAAGTCGGTCGAGATGTCTGCCTCCCCGGGCGCTCTTGGAGTCAGTCAACAACAGGCGTTCGCACTATAAGGCGATTAGATCTATATCGCGATGCCAAGGTATGCTTTGTCTTCCTCCGTTGCCTACAATGCATTCCTCCACTATCACTAAAGATAAGGTACAATTGTTACATTCAATCTTTGTTGGTTAAAAAGTTAATATCGGGAAAATAATTTCTTCTGAAATGTTTATCTGTGCTTAAAAGAAGCTTGGTTATTTGTATTTTCCTTCCTTAATCACTACACTGTGCCATCAAGCACAAGTGGTTCAATTTTTGTCGTACCAGATTTTAGAGAACTGAAGTCCAATCACCTTGGCTATAATATGCAGAACTTTATTAAAGGAAAGTTTAGACCTGAATGAGTCTCCTTCCACTTTATCTCTTCCAAAAACTGTAGAGCAATTCCCGACTATCACCAAAGTACAGATTGCTGATTTAAAGAAGGATGTAATTTCGGTTGGTGCTAAACAAGACCAACTTATGTCGCTACTAAGCCACACTCTGCAAAACCAATCTCAAATGCACAACGCTCAAACACAATATTGGATTTATGCTAAGCAACGTGACTTAGCAATAAAAGCAATGTTTTCCAACTTGTTTAATGAGGCCGAGAGTTTGTTTCCAACTTTTCCAGCGACTATTTTAGAAAATTTAATGTAATCGACTATGTCTGATGCTAGACATAGTTCAACAAGCACTGAAAAGATCCCTACCGTACAACATGTAGATGTCATTGAACCATTGGCTACATCTGATAAACCACAACAATTTGAGGAAGAATCTGAAGAAGAGGAAGAAGACAGACAATGTGAGACTAAGGAGGATTCGGGTAACTCCACTGAATTTCTACAAAATAACGAGGAATATGAAGAAGAGGAAGACCATGTTAGCAATGAAAAGCTGCAAAAGAAGGGTATCGCTAAAGTTGATGCTCCAACAAATCAAGCGATTCTGAATATTATTGCAGTTGTTCAGAAGCTAGTTGCGGCGAGTCAGCCAGAGAGCGCTTTTGACAAGGCCACTAGTCTAAAGAAGACAGAGATTGCTGGAAAAAATAATCAGATGATACAACATCCAAATCTCCAACCTTTAATGTTGCTAAGGATGTTCCAACATCGTCTAGTCAGAAGCGGAAGAGCTCGGTGAAGGCTAAAACCACTGCCAAGCGTCTACAAACAGATATGCTCAGCCCACGAAAAAGTCATGCAAGCCCACTTAGGGGAGTATTGCTTCCCTTTCTTTTAATTTCCTTTGTTTAGTTTTATTGTCTTGTAAGTTTACTTGTTGTTTTGATGCTGTAATGCATTGGGGACAATGCATCCCTTAGGTTTAGGGGTGTGCTGCCATGTGAATATTGCATTTAGGTTATGTTGCATTGTGCATTTAGGAAGTATTGTTGTAGATAGAGTTGCATTAGTAATGCCTTAGGATAATTTTTTAGAAATTAATAAAGGTTCTAAGGTAATTTTAAAGATGCCTGATGATGATTATGAATTGTATGAAATGCTATAGAGAATGCTTTGGATTTTTTTTCGAAATTAGATCCTTAGAACTTTTATTTACACTTAGGTATATGTTTCCAATACTTAGAGAATTTAGAAATCTATATTTCACACACTACACTCTGTGGATTCTAATTTTGAAATGAGGAAAATGCATTTTCCTTATTTGAGATTATACCTATGCTGTAGAGCATTAGCTGAAGGTTGAAAAAGAAACTTACTTGCGATGTTGATTTCTGGAATTTATTCTTTGGCATTGCTGTAGGATTAGATAATTCATGCATGTTTTGCTTGAGGGAAAACAAAGACTCGGGTTTGGGGGTGTGATAACTCTCCAAAAGAGTTATTTTAAAGAGCACTTTTAGCCTAAGTTTAGTTTGATCTTAAGCATTTTGAGGTGCATTTTAGGATTAATTTTAATTAGTTCTTATGATTCTTCATGTTTACCTTTTGTGGGTTGCTTTGGGCTAAAAATGAATTTTAATGCTGAAATTGTGCATTGACGTTGTAGTATTGCAAGAAATGTTGTGTAGCATCCGAATGAAGCTTATGATGATATTATAGCATTTCAATGCTATGTAGCATCCCAATGCTGTGGAGCATCCGATGACTCAGCTGTCAGTTATGGAATTATCTAGAATGGGATAGTTATCCTGGGCAGCTGTCAAAGGATTGGATCTTATCTGAAATGTGGCAACAAACCATTGGAGGATAAAATTCCTCTTCGCCTATAAATATGGCACTTGCCTGCTCATTTATACACACCAAATAGGCATCGAGTACATCACATTTCGAGAAAAAAATCCACAATTCTGCCATTGTTTTCTTCACCCGATAGAAGCCTAAGCCTTTTGCTAGGGATTGTTACAGCAGAAAGGGAGCTCGCCGAGTAGCATCGATCATCAGCAGATCACTGTTCGATCATTTCATCGAGAGAATGGAGTGTTTGAATATACTTAAATTCGTATTGGATGATTTTTTGGATTTATGGTTTTATGCTACTATGATTCTATTTGTATGAGCTTGGATGATTAGATTATAAGTATAAATATTTGTAATCAATGAATGGTTATTTTAAATACTTCTAGAAATAGATTCGTTTAACTTGCCATCTATTTTTGATAGCCTAATTGATGCTGATTAGCATTGTGCATATTGAAAAGTAGGCAGCCTAGTATTAGCCTTGTTAAAATGGTGAATCTTTGATTTATGAAAGTGATTAAAGTAATCCAACATGTTTTAATCATTACTAATAGCATAGAAATCATATTCATTGTTTGTTTGAAACTTGACTCCCTTAATACTTCCAATTTTCATTCGATAGTTGACTTGTCGCTCTCTGTAATGTTGTAGCATGAACTGGAGTTGTACATTTTTATTATATTTTCTTGTCGTAAAGATATCAAAAAACATTTCTCTATTTTTAAACTCTATCGAAAACCATATGCTCTTTGTGGGATCAATACTCGTTGTAGAAACGATTTTTTTACGAAAATAAATTTAATTATTTTTAAAATCTAGTCTCGAATATTTTGTTGTTTTTCTTCTCAAATAAGATAAAACATAATTTAAGGAGTCACCACTAATCTTTGAATAAGGTGTGATTGGGCACCCAAAATTAATTTTTATTTTAATAAAATCCAATTTAAAAATTATTAAAATAACACTAAAAGGTATACGTACCAAAAAATGAGTTCGAGACTCGGTTACGTGTAGGGAAGGATTAGCACCCCCCACAACGCCCTAAATCGGTATCTTCTCCATTAATTATTTATCTTTGCAATAAAATTTACAAGCTTGAATTTAATTTAATTTATGATTCCTTAAAGTAGAAATCTTGAATTTTAGAATGAAACCAAGTAATATTTAATTGTTTCCTATTGAGAATAAATGATCTCTCATACCTTGAGACAATCAATTCTTACTCCAATTGAAACAAATAGATATTATAATTTCACACCAATATTCGAATGCATGAAATGTAATCAAATTAATTTAAAATTATCAATTCTTTTAGAAAGAAAAAGAATATTCGATTTATTTAAAAACTTTAAAATCGAACCTTAGATAAGTTCTAACGATATTTTCTTGAAGAATTTAAATAGACGAACATAACTTTTTTCTCGTTCCCAATTTTTAGGTGAGACCAAGTTTTGGGTTTCACTTAACGGGACACATTTTCATTTTAAAATTGTCGGAAGTAGCTTTCTCATAAGTTAAGACAGCCACCTCAGATCAACTTTAAAATAAAAAGGTATAACCCTTAGTCAAATTATTTTATTTGAAGTCGAGTTATGCCTATGAGGCCATCATGTAAATTAGTTAAAACTAACATCCTAAACTTATGCAATAAATCATAAAATATCCTATGTTTAAATATGTATATTTTTGGGATAAAATATTAATAGCAATATACTATAGTATTATTAGCTAATAAAATAAATATATTAATTTTGAAAATCCAAATATCTATATACATAAAACGTAACAAATAAATAACAATATGTATATGTAAAATCATGAATATATACATCTAATATTAACTTAATATAAAATATTTATTTTAAAACACACGACACATATAAATAATGAATAAACATATATTTTAATTCATAGGGCATAGAGGATCAAAATGAAATAAAACATAAATTAATAATCATAATCATAATTTAACCACTGCATATACCCACAACAACTAGGGATTAAAATGAAAACTATTAAAATATAAGGACTAAATCGGATATTTACCCAAAACATAAGTATATACATGGACAGTGACTAAAATAGAAACGGAGTACACAAGGAAGTGCTACAAGTTCTATCCTCATGGATTACTTGCTTTCAAGATTGTGGGATGCTTCATTATTCTGACATCACTTATTCTTTTCTCTAATAGAGGCAGAACGGGCATCACTTGTTTCAAGGACCTTTTGCATTTGAGACTGTCCTGATTGAAAATATTTTTTCTCATTTCTTTTAATTTAGAAATCAAAGAATGAAAGAATTTTGTAAAGTATTACTTCTTAATTTAGGCTCACAATTGAATCAAATCATAAACATGAGTTCACAGAATATCAAGAGAATCAACAACTCTTTTAATAATTTCAAAGTTATAGCTCTTTAACAAGTGTCAAAATTATGGGTTGGCTTCAGGTTGGCTTTCCTATTTTCTAAGGTTTTTGTCATCAAGGATGTATTTTCTTACTTGGTCCTTGTGAACATTAAAACATGCCCCTCTTTCTTGGCTTAGCATATTAAGTGGATGCAGACAAAATGAAACAACTAACATATTCAATTACTAGGCTATTTGGAACACTTCCATTTCAGTTCTTTGAAATCTTTCATTTGTTCAAGCTTTGTAGACTCCTCTAACAAAGGCAGTGTAGAAATATCTGTCTAAAAATGAAATTCCTAAGTGCTCGTATGAAATTGACTATAACAAGTGTTCCTTAACTCTCTTAGTCCATCTTTACCGAAACTCCTTATTTAGATAAATTTGATTTAATTTGCCATTGTTTGGTTAGCTGAATTTAGCTTTATTGTATATATATATATTATAATTGCCTTTATCAGGCTAGCTGACTCTTGTACATAAAGTGAGGGAGTTTAACCAATTGCTTTAGAGGGATAGCTCAAGCTTTATTGTATACATATCTAATTACATTATGGGTATACGGATTCAATTTATTAAGCTTGTCAAGAAGAACCTGTTATAGTCTAGGTGTTGTTGAAAGTAAAAAAAATCTCATCTTTAGAGTTTAATTTCCAAGCAACTAACCTAAACTAGATTATCCTACTCGACTATTCCATATGTGAAGATCATGATCATCATTGAACGTCATCAACAAAAGTAGAAACCAATCAACTTTGTAATCTTTTGTGCAAAATGGCCCTTTTTGCCCACATCATTACATACCTGAATGCCAAACCCTTAATTAGCTCTTCATACAGAGAGAATGCTAGTTTGGTTCCAGCAAGAGAAGAGTATGATGTTCGAGTGTATCCTCTGGGGTAAGGTCAAGGGTAATTGTTTTAATAGTTTTCAATCTTGTCACTTTATCAAAGATTTACAACTCTAATCATTTAAAGAGTTTCTAATTCAGTTGATCTTAAAAGAACTGCAAGATTGCAAATTTAATTCAATGCTTACCATCTTTAAAGTAACAAATTTATTTAAAATATCCTTACAAAATGGCTGAGAAATGACAAAAACAAATTCAAACAAGATGTTGCAAATGGAACAAAGTTCCATGATGAATGAAATGATCTATTCCTAATTTAATTAGGATGCCCTATTACTCATCTAATACAGTGACACTTGACTCAATCCGATGTTACACATCGTGCTTTGATGCCCCACTCGAGTTCGTCATCCACTGTTCCACCAGTTCTCGTGTCAACGTCTTATTTTCAACAAACATTTCTATCTCCTTTTAACAACGACCTACAATTCCCCGTAGAATGTCCAGATGCCCCCAAGTGGAAATCGCAGACACTATCTTGATCATAGCTATAGGCAGAAGGGTTTGATAGCACTTTCATTCGCCTTGGTGTGAGGTATTAACCTTTAATCAAATGAGGGTACAAATATGAGATAGAAGTTTGGAACACCTTCAAAGTATTTCTCGATCGAGAGACTTTCATTGGTCGGTCCAATCGACTAGATGTTCCTTTTCTTTTGTAGATGTGGGGTCTCTGAACATGACATTCATTCACACCATCAGCTTTCTATTTTTGATTGGTTGAGCTTTTGTAAGTGACTTTTAAGTTTTCTTCGCTGATTGCATTTTCAATTAATTCCCCAGCCGTCATAAGATCCTTGAAGTCTCATGTTGAGTTTTCTAGTATTAACTCGAAGAAAGGAGCTATGAGAGAATTATGAAACGTATATGATATCTCTTCTTCTAACATGGGAGGTTGAACTTGTGCTGCCACCCCTCTCCATCTTAAGGCATACTTTTTAAAGCTTTCGATAGCTTTTATCTTTATTCTCTGAAGATCCTGGCGCTTTGGAGCTAAGCTTTTAACATATCGATATTGCCCCAAAAAAGCATTCGCTAGATCAACCCATCTCTTGATATGCTCTCGGTTTAAATGATTATACCACACTACCGCTGGCCCGTCGATACTATTCTGGAAAGTGTGAATTAGTACATTATCAACATTTAGGTACGCTTTCATTTTTTTGCAAAATATTCTCAGGTGGATTAAGGGACAACTGGTGCCATCATATTTCTCAAAATTAGGATTCCTAAATTCATGTGGGATGGCCAAATCTAGGACCAAGTTGATCTCTCTTGCTTCTAATTCTTTGTGAGAGACATTAATTTTTTCACAGCTCCAATTATTTCCTTCAAGTGTTTGAATCCATCCTCAGATTGCTCATGATTAAGGAGGCTATTCTTTAGGTTAGAGTGGGATGCCCCAGGGTAGGCTATCAATCTTGATTCATTAGTCTGATAACACTAATGTTTTTTAGTTGTTATCTTCTCTCTATCAGTAGTCTTAGTTTCAATCACATGGATAATTTGATTCGATACATCTTGTATAGATCCCGATGATTCATTTCTTGTATCTTGTTGTAACCCGTCCAACTGCTCTTGCAACTGATCTTGTGATCTCTCATGAGATTGGTTCATTGTTTCCATTTGTTTGTTCATGATGACGAGCAAGTAGTATGAATGAATGATCTTGGTATTACTGTCATATAACCTTCCATGTAACTAATGCATGTAAAAATGCTTAAATAAACACATGCGATGAAAATGCATGTAAGAAAAAGGTATCATTCCAGAGTGACCATCTTAAAACAACTTTCATTGAACACAAAAGGTTTCGGTACATCAAACAAACTTTACATACAAGGGATAACTTTCACTCCTAATTTCTCTATCTCTCTCAAAAGCCAAGTTAACTTCCACTCATGCTCAGGTGTTGAGTTGTCAATCTTCTTTAATTCTCTCATAAAGCCATCTAAATTAACCAGTTTATGAGACACATTGCTTACT